TTCGTAATACTACTTATTTGTTTGCATTGATGTAACCAAGGATCTTTCTAACAAGTATGACCCATTATAAAGGAAATAATCTGACGGTTCACATGATGCAGGTTTTTGCAATCTGCCTTTAAAGGATTGGTGGTATTTAGGATTTGGTCTATAACTTTAAACAGAAAGAGTCAATAAGTATTTTAGGTTCCCATTTTTAAACATAAAATCGCAAACAACTGCTTGGTTGAGGAATATTCCGAAAAAGTCTATTTCTTTGACTATTGAAAGTTAAACATCCACCAACATGGGACACCATTGTCTAACATGGCGTACAACGTGATGAGTTTTAAGACATTAATACAATGCGTATGAGTTTAATAAAACAACAATTCAAATGTGGGAGAGCCAAGCTACAGAACGAATGGGTCGGCTCGACCGGAGTGGTACCACGGCCTGACAGAAAACCTGCGTTTAACTACCACAGCGTTGTTTCGCCGTGTGAGTGAGGTTACTGGAATCCAAATCCCTCTCCTCCCCCAATCCCAAACTCTCCAAATCCCTTATCCCCAAAAGGTCGGACTTGCAACTCCTCCGTTGTTTCGGGTGCCCATTAGCGGCGCTATTGCTTAACATCAGGTAATTCGTAAATAAAAAACACTTCAGGGTAAAATTGCATGACCTAATGTTTGTCCGTTTCTAGCTATGGGAGCGAGCAATCAATTAATTTTCATTTAAAACAACAGATACTACTAAATAGCAAAATATGTATAATTTTAAGTAGTATATGTAATTATATTATTGCTGTATATGTAATATACATATAGTATGTATGTATATATATATATACATATATATATAGCTATATGTATGTATATTTACAGTATATAATATGTATTTATAACGTCTCTGATGATGCTTGTTTTGTGCACCTTTATATTTATCTCTGCATCATCCAAAGGTTTGGCTGTCAGAGAATGCCCATGGCATTAAGCCCACCTTTGTACATTTGTTTTGTGCATAAAGATATTAAATAAATAAATAAATAAATAGATACCCTTCCAACATGGTAAACAATTAAGATCAGTTAGATCTTAATTGTTAAAACAAACTTTACTTAACTCCTGTTAATGCTATAGAAATAAGGTTGCTTTTTCCGTCAATTATTTTTTTCATTGTGATCAAAGCATACTTAGCTCATTATATTCACTTATTAAAGTAGTTAGTTGTCTTTTTTTAGGGGTTATAATCACCCAATGACTTGACCTTTTTTTGTGAGGGGAAAATCATCAAATGACTTCTCCCGCCCAGGGCCAGCCGGGTGGGAGTGTCAGACTCTTACTAACTAAAAACCCCCCTGTTCCTTCTCCTGCTCTGGGCCGAGGTCGCGGTGCCTCATTGCGCTTATCCTGCAACCCCGGCTGAACATCAGCCCTATAGGGAGCCGTCTGTGGTAGTCTATTGACTCTTTGAGGCGCGCGCGGAATGCTATGCGCCGTACGCCATACGCTCGGGAATGACTTGACCCTGTGTGGGACGTGAAGAAGTGTCAGACTCTTGCTGACTAAAACCACTCCCATTCCTTCTTCTGCTCTGAGCCGGGGTCGCGGTACTTAATTGCGTTTGCACTCAGAACCCACAAATAAGCATGCTAAACATTATAAATTGAGGTTATACAACCAATAACATTTAACTAGAAAAGAGTTAAGACCTTAAATAAATGAATGACGATAATAAATATAAAACAAAATAACTGACTACTAAACATAATAATAATATCTACGCAAGTACAAGTTTCTGCGAAAAGGTTAATAGCTTATGAATATACGGTTTAGAACAAGTAGCTAACACTCAAAGAGTGACTGACAGACGAACGACATTTATTGTGACTGTTAAATTTTGCTATTAGATACATACGTCTTTCGAAATGATAGGCTATTTGCACATGGTGTAAATACATTGTTAATTTTTTAAATATGTCCCATCGCGCTAGCGTTTTTTTTTTCTATGTCGTGGGTGTGTTTCATCATCATCATCATCACCAGCCTATAAGTGCCCGCTGCTGAGCAAAGGCCTCTTCTCATACGGAGAAGGTTTGAGCATTAATCACCACACTTGCTCAATGCGGGTTGGCGATTTCAAACTTATAATAAGAAATTATAAGTCCAGGTTTCCTCACGATGTTTATCTTCACCGTATGTCAGTGGTGTCTAAATAATCATAGGAAGTACATATAACTCGGAAAAAGTCACATTGGTACTTGCCAGGCTTCGAACCCACACCCTCATGCATGAGGAGCGAGCTCCTTAACCTCCGGGCCACCACTAAACTTTGGGTTGTGGTTCTGGTCGTGGGTGTGTTTACAAACATACAATTTCACTTACATATCAGACCCAAACCTGTAACAACAATATGTGGATCATCATAATCAAAGAGTCGTTCCGTGCGAGAGCTCCTGCCACACGTGACACGGCATCTGACAACTGTACAGTCAATTGCAATTGTGTTTTCATCATATTCGAAGAAACGATACCGAACATACATTTGGTTTAAGAAAAAAATGTGAAAAAGGAATCAAAATGACCACTTGTAGCCAAGCTAATAATAACTTTATTTTCGACTACATAAGATATGAATATTAATAACACTATATCATCCTTGACCCTTATAGTAATGCTTACCTTTTTTAACCAAGATGATAAACAAACCGGCATACCGAATGATATTACCGCGTTCCACGAAACAGAAGCAGGTGCAACGGACGTACACGATATAAACGTAATCGCAGTGAAATTAGTTGAGACGACTACAATCAATTAGGAAACTTAGTAACAAAGTTTTAAAGTTCAAAGTCCAGGTAATGCTTTATGAGATTTGACGAGGTGAGGTTTACACTTTAGAGAATTAGATGCGGTTGTAGCTTGCCAAGCTTGTGATGCCAAATTACTTGGTATTTTGGATGCAGTTTCAGATAATGTTTGCAATATAACACCTCATGATGACGATGATTAAAAATTAATTATTTTGGCAGTAAATTTTATAAGTATCAATGTATCTTAGAATATCTGAAGAAAATCTTTAATTTGTAACCCCAGATGTGTCCAGTTTTCTTGAAATATCAAAACCAGGCCTATTACAAGTGTCAGGTGAAACTCTATTTCATTTTGAATTAGATTATACTTACACACTTGATCATATTCAACAAAACAATCAAATTACTTATTATTAATAAGGTAAACAAATAATCAACTGTGGTTCGAATAAATAATTATTATTAGTCGGTTTTGAGGCCATACTATCTTAATTTAATATTCTATTAAAATAATTTACTATTGTATCTAATTACGTTTAAGAAGGAGTTCCTCAGGGCTTCATATTGGGCCTTACCTTTATTGGTTTACCTAAATCACTAGAAAGTTTTGTTTATTTGTCAAGCTTTTTAGATAGAAGCAATCCGTATAAATACAGTTTAATCACTCGACAACTATAAACAAACAAACTATAAACCAAACACTTCTTAGCGTTTAAGATCAAAAACATTCTATTGATTTTTTTTCACTTTGAAGTTCATCGATTGAGTCAACGGAGTTCAGTGAAAAGAAACAGATGGCTACTATAAATACGGCTGCTATTCTGGGTAGCGGGTTCAAGCCCGCACGATGCATTCCTGGGCTATGACTACATGCTTTTGTACTTAAGTTATTAGCTGCACTACAGTGTTAATGATTCGAGATAAGATTTAGTCAACTTGATTGTAAATTACGACTAGGTACTATTTTGTTTAGAATTTGCGTTAAAAGCATTGTTTGGATACGTTTGCAATTCTAGTTTATATTAATATTTCAATTTGTATATTATTCTACAAAAATCTACATTACAAAGTTGTGATTAATGAACCAAAATTTCTTTATGGAAGTGTGTAGAAGAGATTGGTTAACCTCAAATGAAGAGTGTTAGGCAAAGGTATGCAAAACTTAAATACATTCCCACGGATTAAAGTTCACTCAAACCTCTTACTTACATAACTTGATTAGTATAATTTAACCGTTCTCATTTAAACAGCGGATATTATGCTGTCGTTTCGTTTACACAGAAATTGTGTTCGTTGCTCGTAAATAGCGAACTGCACAATTTATTTAACCGATCAACTAACTGGGTCACTGAATGTGAAAACTATGTGCCGCACAAATTGACAGTAAAATTTATATCTGCGTTATAAGCTCCTTATAAAGGTTTATTCAACAAATTTTATTCATTTATACGAATCACTTGTACATATGATTTCTGTATATGTTTCTTGAACAAATTCAATTTGAAGTTTACGATAGATTTATAGAGTATCCGACGTTATTTAATGTTATATCTTAATCTTGTACGTGTAAGTAATGTTATGGGACTTTATCTTGTAATTTAACGATATGATTAGTTTGAGTTGTCTTAGATTTTTTGTTTTAATGAAACTTAGCATTTGACTAAGATTTTCTCTTTGAAAAAAGCGTGCTGCGATACAAAACTTAATTTCACAAAAACATATGATGACATATGTCGAGCATATATTAGACAGAATTGAACCCGTGGGTGCATAGGCATGAGGGTGTGGTTTCGAAACCTGGCAAGTACCAATGTGACTTTTTCCGAGTTATATGTACTTTCTATGATTATTTAGACACCACTGACATACCGTGAAGGTAAACATCGTGAGGAAACCTGGACTTATAATTTCTAATTACAAGTTTGACATCGCCAACCGCCTTGAGCAAGCGTGGTGATCAATGCTCTAACCTTCTCCATATGAGAAGAGGCCTTTGCTCAGCAGTGGGCACTTATAGGCTGATGATGATGATGATGAATCCGTGGCATGTTGCGCAACAAATGGTTACCTAGCCAATGTACCTATCTAATTAACTATGAGATAACAGATTGATTATCTGGTTTTCTAAAAAGAACTCCCATGTAAAAGTACCTAAAAACTTCCTGTTTCATTTACCATAATAACCTTTATATCCTTTTCTTATTTCCAGGAGTTCGTAGAAGGAGACTATCCAATGGACGGCAACGATGACTGGGATTCTGATGACTTACCAGACTCTAGTTCCACTTCGAAGCCTCAGATCCTAGGAGTTACTCCTTCAGCCATGTCCAGAATAGGGCCAGTGAAAACCGTAGTCGTATCTGCTGCAGAGACAATAGCAGCTACTAACGCGAGACCAAGGATCTTGGATGACCGTGAGTCGTGAGAATTTTGTTTAGAATTAAATATATGTATTACAATATATTTGTAACTTGAACTTTCTGGAAGTTCGATTCCTGCTCAGATAAATTATTTCAATCTCTCGACCAGCATACGAACAACAAATAATGTTAATTTATTGACCAATTTCATGAAATAATATCACATAGACAAACAAAAATACAATTTTAATACTTAATGTCTATGGGACATGATAATATACTGACAGTACTATATTAACCATTTTCTTTACAGCCCTTACTCCGGTTGAACGAGCAGCTTTGCGTAAGGCGGCCTACAGAAGCATGAACGACTTGTTGAAGAATGGGAAGTGCGTGGACCCCCAGCCCCGCTGGCTGATTGTGAGGCAGCTGGCGCCTGCTGCTGACACCAGGTATATGCATATTATAAAAGACTAAGAGATAAGAAATACCGAAAAAGGGCTGAAATAATACAAGTCATGGAATACGATCACTACCCGGTTATTGAAAACTCAATATTACTTTGACAACTGACAGCTATATATATTGTACATCGGTCTTTGGAAAGAGACAATCAGCCAAGTTCCAAAGTCAAAGTTAAAATCATTTATTCCAACTCAACCACAAATAGGTACTTTTTTAGTCTGTCAGTCTGTTCGTCAATAAAGCTGAAGAAGAAAGAGCAAGAAACTTCATCTCGCAACAACAACATCCATCGCCTCTTAAATTAATAGACCACTTTCGTTGGATCGAAAAAAAAATCATAGAAATAAATTGTCTATTTTCAAAAGTCGATTAGTAATATTTATTTTAACCCTGGCTGACTGTACATCAATATTCCAGTATCACAGGCAACCAAATAATAAAACCTTACTGTTGACTACATCTACCACTAAAATTTCCAGATATTTGCCACCATGCGTACAGCTGCACCGATGTGCCCCCGATTCTGGTTGCTGCGTCAACGAGAGTGAAGTCTGTGCCCCGATTGAAGGCAAAACAGTCGTTTTACCATTCTACGTAAGTTTCTTTAATATATACATTGCTTACAATTTCATAATTATTCTGCTAACAGACATTCTTTTACTCTTTCCCGATCTCTCTATCTGCGATATGAGAATCGTAAAACGTAAAACTGATAAAGAAATTGATGATGAAACTCTATTTCTATATAGATGGGGGGACGACAAATTAATTAACAATATATTTTTTCAGCTTCACAAAGCGACCGGATCAATGAATGTAGTGAAGATGCAGTTCTTCAACCACACTCGGTGTGGATGTGTCTCTCGGGGTACACTACAGATGACAGTCACCACGACAGCGGCCAAAACAAACGACGGTGATAGCCAGGAGGAGCTGGAGAGACCCTCGCGCCGAGCGATGGTTGAAAGCCAAAACGACTGGAGAACACCAACCGAAGAACCACTCTTGGAAAAGAACGATGAACCAACGGCACCTCCCCAGTTACGCAGGTTCGTTTTAATCACGGAATGGAAAAGCTTCAAAGAAGAAGAAGAGTCTGTTAAATTTGATCTTTTTATTATTTAGATTTTTTTTTTGTCTCGAAAGTTTGCTTCAGAATATTATGATAGCTGATAGCTTTTACTTTTGAGTAATGAATAAGAAAGAAAATTACTTATTGATGGCGAGAAAGTGTAATGGACATGATACAGTCAGGATTTTTTAACTCATTCCATATTTTATATTAAAGGAGAAATTTGAGTCGTACTTATTTATATATATATTTTTACAGATGTACATGCCCAGCTCTGTTCCTGGCTAGCATGACGGAGTACGAGCCTTGTTCATGTGTCTGCGACTGGCCTGACGCAGGCCGTCGTCGTGACTGCCAGTACCTCGCCAAGGGTCGAGAACATTTTGGTCTTCGGGACAGGGTCTGTGTAGCTCGAGGTGACTGCACCCCACCATCCTGTGAATATGGTTCTTACGACAGAACTGTAGGCAAATGCCCCCTTCGAAGGTATAGAAGAATGAGGTACCACTCCAGAGGAAGATACCAAGAGAAAACCATGGTGGTGTGAGCGAACCAAGAATGTATTTGGTTATATGTATTCTCTATTGTGTTATGCCAGCATTTAGGGGATTTGGAGACAGGCTTGATTTGTGCATTTTTACTATACTTAGCTGTAAAGTCTGAGCTAATTACATTAGTATTGACTTGTTTTCCAGTCACCCATTTTGTACAAATAATTATTAGTCTGGTAACCTTAAAAGAATCATTTCAAATTATCATCAAAAATTTTTGTAAAGTTGTGTTTTCATTACAGAATGTCGTTATTATACGGTTTTGTTTTGTTTTAGTAGAATTGTCTCCAAATGCAGTGTATTTTAAAAAGTCCCCTATTTTTGCTAGTAATTTCTTAAAAGCATAATAGACTCGTGTTATTTTATTAATGTACATGTATTTAAATATTAATTTTAATAATTATGTGTTTAAAAAATCTTGTCCGACCCTACTTTTGCAAGTAACGCCTTATTCCTAGCAATACTTACTGGTCTTTTGACTGAAATATTTTAGATAATGTTAGTTTTTCGAAAACTGCATTTTTTGTATTACTTTTTAAAATATACGATACGAAACTGTTTGTAATCTATCGCACTTTTAATTGTACAACGAAAAAAGAAACAGATGACTAATATTTGAATTTTTAATGCTTCAAAATATTGAGTTATTTTTCGAAAATAATGTCGTCATTTCGGGTCGGACAAGCCTTACAATGTACAACCAAGTAGATGTACCTATATTGTGCCATATTTGCAAAATTGAGTCAGTATCTGATATACATAACTATTGAAACTATATTATTAATTGAGTTTTGTGCTTAAAATTTTCCCTGCCTTTTGAACTCGCGCCAGTTGTCTATGAGGCCGTGTTATATCATGATACTGCGGGATGCTGAAGTACCTACTTCACGCACATCAACACCAATGGTGGCAGTACCCCTTATATGTATTAGTTCATGCATTATCATTGACAGCATTTTTAGAATTCCATTATCTTCATTGTAAGTATAGAAACTTTCACGATACATACATAAATTAATTCAAATATGTATACGGCAAACTCATGTTGAAATTGCACGATGCTTTTGATTATGAGTCCCGTTTTGAATTGAAAGTACTCGAGCTTTTCTCGAAAACGTGACGTGAGTTATGTGCATATTCCAATCGCTCCACCATCTTTATTGTTAATATATACAATAGCTTTATTTGATTTCATAATCTATTCGACGAAATATTTTCATAAAGCATAATATTTTTCATGAAACGTCTTTTGACATTAAGTGATTTGATTATTATTTTGTAAGATTTTATTTTTTAAGTTGTAAATAAACGTGGATTTGAGGAGAATATTTTTTTATATTTTTTTTTTATGTAACCTGTATTATCTGCCAAAGTATGGCACATTTTCAAAACATGTCTGAGCCCTATAAAGAAAAATAGGAAAGCATAGATTTTCAACCAAATTGTTCTATGAAACTTGTAATACCTACAGGGTCACTTAACTTCAGTATTTTTTGCTTAGCGGGGCCGGAAGTAATTAAAAAGTTAAAATTTGACGAAAAGAATTGTATAACTTAATATTATCTTCAACACAACCAAAAAGTAGTAGTAAAAAATAGTATCTTCTATGTCTAAATTAAGGACTCATCATTATCTACCAATCTAGTGAAAATTATAAAAATATACATGATGTAGATTATCGAATTTTAATAACAATTAAGTTTAGAAAAGTTATAGTGTAGGTGGGGAGCAAATTAGGACTCACTTAATATAATTTACAGTTTAATGTTCAAGAAACAACTTTGCACACACATTATTCAACAAAAATCACTTAAATCTCAATTTTACATCAGAGCGCGAGCGTTACCGTTTCGAATGTGTGGCGGCCATTCGTCAACCTGTAGCGCGCTCTCGCGGACAGCGTCGTAAGGACGCCTTTGGGTTGCCAGCGCATACCGCTATGCTATAAAGTCAATTTTCTCATTAAACACAAAATAAATTATAACTCTGCAGGGGTTGACCTTAAGGACCTCCAAACGTAGAACAACTTTTTGCAACTGATAACCCCATTTAACCCCTAATTGCGTTTCTTTCATGACTTTTGGAACAACCTGTATATATATATATATAAAAAAACATAACCGGCTACAAAAACACAAGGCTTCCAGGTTTATGTTGTCGGGGGAAAATCGTATATGAACATTCTCGACCTGGGTAGAGCAACAGAGTGTCTGGTGCTTACTGACTAAAAAACACCCTGTTTGTGCTTTGAGCCGGGCATCGGTACATTATAAAATAAATAAATAAATGAAATAAAAAAGCCTTATATTTCATGGAAAATTAGAAAATTAATACTAAAATATTTTTTTTTTGTTTTTTACTAAACTTAACCTATATTGTTTCTTGTTAGAATGAGTTTAAATGCATTTGAGGTTTTTAAATGTTTTGTTCAGTATCTGGTTGGTACTCCAGAACCCCTTCTCGGGTGAAGGCCTCCCCCAACGATTTCCATTGCTCCCTATTCAAGGCTTTCTGCATCCAGTCATGGCCAGCTGTTCTGACAATCTCGTCTTGCCATCTCGTAAGCGGCCTTCCTCTCCAGCGCTTGCCCAGGGGGCCGGTCCATGACGTTACTCTTGTTGTCCATCTCTGGTCTTGAAGATCGGTACATTAATAAGTCAAAAAACATTTATTTCAACTAGAGCCTCACAGGCACTTTAGAACGAACCCTGTAGGGCTCCGTCTGTAGTGGTCTATTTAACTCTTTAGGGCGCGCGCGGAACGCTATACGCCGTTCGCTCGGGTCCGGTTCTGGTTGAGTGACGAGCTACTCTTGCTCACGGTCAAACAAGGCTTCTACGTAAATGGTTCACATGAAAACATTATTAATTATAATTATCATAGTGTATTCCGTGTTCTTTTGCGTTGTATTTTGTGTTAGTTATTTGTTGAACGGTGAAGTTTATACATTATGTTTGTACAATTGGCTGCCAAATTGTAAATTGACGAATAATAAACTACCTTTAAATAATTGCGTCATCCCATAAAGACTCGAAAATTCTGTACCAGAATAAATATTTTGTTTTGCGATCATCTTCATCCTCATCAGCATAGGCCTTTCCAGAGACTAGATCGGTCAGTTCGAAGTAACCCTTATAAGGTCGTCTGTCCACAAAAGTGTTATTGTGTTATTATACATCATACCAGTAACACGGTACCTCGAAGTAAATTTGGAAAGTATAGATAGGACGTTACAGGTACCTATATTTTTTCTTCAAACATAAGTTACTTCTTAGACTATGCTTTTTTTGTGATGGAAAATGTCTTTTTCCGACCATAGTGAGGTCAGAGGAAGTGTCAGACTTCAGTCCATCCCGTTCCTTCTCCTGCTCTAGGCCACGGCCGTGGTGCCTCATTGCGCTTACCCCGCAACCCCGGCTAAGCATCAGCCCTATAAGGCCCAGCCTGTGGTGATCTATTGGCTCTTTGAGGCGCGCGTGGAACACTACGCGCCGTACACTCGGATCTGGGTCTGATCGGGCGGCGAGCTACTCTTACTCGCCGTCCGCAGATCCGCGCTTACGGTGGCCGAAGATCATCTCTCGATCCCCGATGCCTGGTATATCGCCTACTGCGGCGGCTGACGCGTGAGGAAGACGACAGCTCCCTCACGCGGTCCGCCTCCTTCTCTGCGAGCTTTGCTTCGCAGAAAGAGGAGACTGCTTCCCATTTCCTCTCGCTCCGCACCATGACCCCGACTAAGGCCGGGGAAACTACGCACTTGACTTTTATATTTAATCAACAATATTTATGTAAAAAATAATCGAAGCAGAGGAGTTATTAAACTTCGAAATAACACTTATGTATTTTGATTTATTGACAGTTTACTATTGTCTTCATATTTTGTGTTTAAACAGTTGTAACCTAAAAATTATAGTACTGAGGTTGTATAAAATGCTGATTCGAACCAAATCTCGAGTCGCCGTTGACTGGCAAACACCTAAATATTTCTTTAAGAAATAGGTGTTTGAAATAACTTTTGTAAAATGAAGAAAGTCATTGTGTTATTTCTCGTTGCTATTGTGAGTACTGAATCAATGTTTTTCTAATTTATTGGTGTATAAATATTATATTAGTGAATTGAAGTGAGAAAAATATAAGTTGAAAACAAAAGTTTTAAACAGTCATGACGTGGACTGCTTATGTAAGACTGTGTGTTTTAAAAGATAAGCAGATATAATATGGACGATTTATTTTACGTAATAGACCGGTGAAGAGCAAAATAATAACCTGATGGTAAGCAATCGATGCTACCCATGCACATTCGCAACATCAGAAGAGTCACGAGTGCGTTGCAGATCTTTTGGAGGTTAGGAATTTGGGGATAGGATAGTTTATGAATTGAACCTACGGTAGCCTCACTCAATCGGTGAGACCAAGAGACAATGCTGAAGTTTCACTCTCCACCAATCTCGCCCCGATCCCTAAATCTCCCAATCCCTTATCCCTAAAAGGTCGGCAACGCACTCGTAACTCCTCCGTTGCATCAGATAATCCATTAGCCCGTTTGCCGACACATTACATTAAAAAAATCCAATGTGGAAAAGCTATGCTTTGACATGAATGGGTCGCCTCGACAAAAGTGGTACCATGACCTCACAGAAAAACGGCATGAAACAATCACAGCGTTGTTTAGCAGTGTGAGTGAGGTTACCGGAGGCCCAATCCTTCACCTTCATAAATCTCCAAAATACTAATCTCTAAAATCTTTTACTTTTACCTCGTAACAAAAAACTATCTTTGTATGGGATAAATGGGGTGGCAAACAAGCAGAGTATTTCAGTCTCATGGTACCTACCTAAGCATTCGGCACCGCCTATAGTCTCCGGTAACATCATTGTTACAAGTGCATTCCCTAACGAAAGGCTATGTTGTATTTGGAGATTTTGGCTGAGGAGAGGATGAGGCACTAGCAGGAGTTTTCTTTCAAGTCGTTATTTTAAAGTCGAAATCATTTATTAGACCCTTATCCACAGGCACTTTCGAATATCGAAAAACTTAGAGATAAAACGTGTAAGTCTATCGGTCAGTCCTCTTAGTGAAGCTATTTGCTCATTCCAATGTGTAGATTCCAATGGAAAAGAACGAACAAGATACTCCATGGTTACTCTTTTTAAATACTTATAATAAATTCTAACATACGACAACACACCTTTTAGTGACAGTGAAAACATTGCAGGTGGCAGCAGCTTCAGCCCAAGAACCAGCTCAGCAGGTGACCAGCGAGAGCACGGCGACCTCCGCAGCCACGGACCGACCCAGCACAGAATTAGTGGGAGGTATGTACCACTGGTTTTGGAGACAAGTAAGCCCTACTAGGATTTACCAGAGAAAGACGATAGCAGCAATCTTTAGGTTTTTGATGACTTGAATGTGATGCAGTGATGGAAAACATCTTACAAAGAACCCCCCTTTGAGTTCAGCAGTAGAGATCGTCCTATTAATGATCATGATCGTTAAAATTTACTTCGTATCCCTGATCTGCACTGTCTCCACCACCATCGCTCGAAATAAAAGAAAATTCAGTGTTGCAAAGTCAATTTAGTGAGGCCAGTCATAGGGCCCAATGTGTCGGATTTGAAGCCGGGGTTGCGGATCCTGGAGTAGCATAGGGAACGGGGTGGTTTAAAGTCAGATAATTTAACACTCGCTCCTCACACCTCCTAACTCTCAACCCACTCAGGGTACGAAAAGCCCCTTAAAACAAAACTATTCCGTAGTAACGATTTGTTTCGAAAACTATTTGGTACTGAAGACTGGGTTAGTCATTAAATGACTCTGAGTACGGTGACGACATTTACCTAGTATAAAGGAATATGCGTGGTGGCCCGGAGATTAAGGAGCCAGCTTCTCATGCATGAGGGAGTGGGTTCGAAACCTGGCAAGTACCAATGTGACTTTTCCCGAGTTATATGTTCTTTCTATTATTATTTAGACACCACTAACCAAGGAATCATCGTGATGAAACCTGGACTTACTATATAATTTCTTATTATAAGTTTGAAATCGCTAGGCCGCATGGAGCAAGCGTGGTCAATATTGGTCAAACCCCCTCCGTATGAGAAGAGACCTTTGTTCAGCAGTTGGCACTTGGTGCTGATGATGATGAAAGTAATGTTGAAATGTTCTAAGATTAAAACCATTTCACAGATTTCCAGGAAGCCATCGGTGGTGATATGGACCTCAAGATGATGATAGTTGAAGATGGATCTGCAGGAGAAAAGTGCTTTTGTTCCTGCAACCTCAACAACCAACCTGTCTTCATGGAAATAAATTCTTCAGATCTAGATTCATACGCTGTTGTCTAAGACTTAATAATTAAATAACTATCCACTAAACAGTTAAATAATAATATTACTTTGTAGGTGTAGGCACCTGCACAAATATTATTGACGAAATATAGTGTTGACGAAAATTTAAAGAAATATTTTTAATTTGCTTGTTTTTTTTAATCGGTTCATTCCAGACCGGTTGAACCGTGTAATACTCCCTCTCCAATCCTTCCCCCACCAACTCTCTGTCAACCATCAGAACCTCTTCCCCCCAGGAGCCTTAAAAATATCTTCTTCTGGTTCTGGTGTTAGTTGCGAGTTTTTCGATTTATGTAAGGTAATCCGTTGGCCGATACATAATTTGAACGTCCATCTATTAAAATCTATAATAAGGATCATAGCAGCTATTCAGATATTGTGAAAGAAGCCTTAAGAGTCTTAATTTAGGGTCCTCCAGTTTTCTTACCATATTGTCACAATCTGTTTCATTTGTTATTCATATTCAATTATGGCCGAGGTTAAGCGAGACCTGAATGATACCACGGCCTCTCAGAATACCGGCGTGAAACAACTACAGCGTTGTATTTCGCCGTGTAAGTGAGGTTACCGGAGGCCCCTCTTCCATCCCTTCTCAATCCATATTTATTCGAAATCAATAAACCCAAAGAGCCGGCGACGCACACGTCTTATGGTGTTGCGTTTTTTATAATAGAGTGATTGAAGAGGAAGTTTTTGTAATAACTTCAATTAAATAGAGGAGAAATCAAGTGTGGGAGAGCCATGCCTAGCCACAAATAGGTCGGCTAACTGAATTGATACCACGGCCTCATAGAAAACCAGCGTGAAACAATTACAGCGTTGTGGTTCGCCGTGTGAGTGAGGTTACCGGAGGCCCAAAACTTCTACTTCCCAAATCCCTCCCCAATCGCTAAATCTCCAAATCCCTAATCTTCAAGCAATTTACCGCCAGCCTCGGTGAGGGGAAGGTTACACGTGTGTTAAAATGTAAATAACATTTACAAAAAACCGCTTTTTATATGGACCAACTCATCGTTTGCATTGCAAGTTGCAACTGAGTTAATACAATAAATTTGTTAAATTGCATTTACATTTTTGTTACATTTTATGACTACCGGTACATTTAAGTGTCGGAGAGCCAAGCTTCGGTTCAACCGGAGTGATGCCACGGCCTCACAGAATACCGGCTTGAAGCAACACTTACGTTGTATTCCGCCGTGTTAGTGAGATTAGAGAGGCCCAATCCTTCTCTGCCATCCCCAATCCTCCAATCCCTAAACACCCAAAAAGGCAACGCACTAGTAGTATCTTCTTTGGTATTGCGAGTGTCCATGGGCGGTGCCGAATCCGCAATACAGCAATAAAATTCCTAGAGCATAGGTACGATGATGGGTATCTACGAAATTGTTCCGAATTAATGGGCTCGGGATGTTGGTAGCCGGAGATTATCGCTGCCATTTGCAAAAAATATTTTTGAAATATTTACAGGTTCTCTCGATATTTCGGCGTGAATTAATTGGCGTTCGATGTGTTACACGCTATCAAAACTCGCGAGATAATCAACCAGCCGTTTTACTATTAATTCTGAAAGTTTACCAAATTTTAAGAAAAGGAAAACTTTACTTAGGTATTCTTGCTCCATATTGGGCTGAATTAAACTTTTCAAGAGATTTTCAAATCCATATTGACATAAAAATCGTTGGATAGTCGAACTGAACGCAGCGGATACCTTTCCATGCATCCCATATAGGTGTACAGCAAAAATGTAAATTTGCAATTACTATAAATATACTTTTCCAGTAAATTATTGTATTTGCACAGTTGCAACTAGTAATTTAAACGTCGAGTTGGTCCATATAAAAGGCTGCTCCAAGTGAACAGCGGTACGAGTCGCAAGAATCTTGTTCCGACTAAGATCATCAGTCTCCAACCTCTCCAACATGAAAGTCGCCGTGTTATTGATCGTCGCTGTGGTAAGTACCTCCAGACTTTTTTTATAGTAGCAGTAAGGTGCCTCTTCGAGGAGTGGCTAAAGAGACGCCGTGGCGTTACTGAGCACGGCAGCTTCAGTAGCTACCTGTTTTCGATCCGGCGGGAGCAAACGCCCGGGTGTCGTCATTGTGAAGATGACCCGATAGACATAGTGGAGCATACGGTGTCGATGTGCTCAGCTTGGGCTGAGCACAGCTGTGTCCTCAGGGAAGTGATCGGTGGCGGCAACCTCTTGGTTCTTACTGTAGTCGGATCATGGTGCGAGAGAAACTGTGAAGACTTCTCCGCTTTCTGCGAAGCAGTGATGCTCGCAAATAAGGAGACGTGTAGCAATTATCATCCTCACGGGGCGAGACCGCCGCATTTGGAGACACTCCGGGCGTCGAGGATCGAGCGAGGATCCTCACGCGAGCATGGGTAGTTTTCATGAAGTTTCTTTCTCGTTCTACTCCATCGGAATCTACACTTCGGAATAAACCAATAACTTTACTAAGAGGGCTAGCCGAAAGACTTACAGTTTTTATCTATAAACCTTTGTTTGATGTAAAACCGTGCATATAATCGTCTAATTTTAATAAATCATTTGATTTTGTTACAGGTAGCATGCGTTTCAGCGGAAGATGCAACCAAGGAAGAGGTACCTGTTCTGTTTGATTCGCTCAACTATGGTAAGTGTAGTAGCTCTGTCTGTCTTTTCTTCCCGTTTAAAGCATTAAAACAAATTAGATTGGACCAAATAACTATGCAAAATTGCTTTTTTTTATGTCGTCGTACAAGTACGTAGTCGGCAAACGAGCAGACAGATCACCTGATGGTAAGCAATCGGCGCCGCCCATGGACACCCGCAATACCAAAGGAGTTACGAGTGCCTTGCCGGCCTTTAGGGGATAGGGGTTGCGGATATAACAATTGGGAAGGTATAGGGGAAGAAGAGGGAGGGTTGGGCCTCCGGTAACCTCACTCACACGGCGAAAAACGACACTGTGGGTTGTTCGTGCCGAAGCTTGGCTCTCCCATCATCTCATCTCGTTTCGTTTACGTGGTGAGATCCACCTTAGGTATGGTTCATAATGTTATGGAAAAAACGTTATTTTTATGAATATTTTTTTATTTGGTACTAATAGCACAACATTTAAAACTTAAAACTCCTAGAGAAACAGGTAGATGAGGTGCACATTATTCAATAAAAACCTACTTTTGAATAGTAGGTATGTCATTATGTTCGTATCCTGTGTGTATATATAGGTATATGTATATCATGCATTTAATTATTATAGGTATTTTTTTCCTATTTTCGACCATTTCAATTGTTAGAAAACATTATATAAAAAGGGAGTTTTAATAAAAACTAACAATGCATACCTGGCCGTAACATTTCAGAAATAAAGGGTGTGACATGTATGTTAATTTAATGTTTTTTTCTGTTATAGGATTGTCTTCCAATCTTGATCTCAATTTGAACAGAAAGAGGCGCTCCCTTTTCTGGGGTAGAGAAATAGCTAAAGAAACAAACAAAGCTGTGGATGGTATTCAATTCCTGGTAAGCAAAATTCATGAAAAGGCAAATGACGACCTGGATCGTGTGCAGGACTTTGTAGGCAACGTGGCAAACAATGTAAACAACTTCTTTGAGCAATTGCTAGAAGGCAAGTCCAGCCAAGAAAGTGCCGATTCTGAGGACGCTAGTTCTGACGAATCCGCCGTTGACGACTCTGCTGTTGAGGATTCTGCTGCTGAGGAAACTGCCGATTCCGCTGATGAGGAATCTACTGCTGAGGAATCTGCCGACTCCGCTGATCAGGATTCTACTGCTGACTCCGCTGTTGAAGAGTCTGCTGCAGATTCCACCGCTGACGACACTACTGACAGTTCAGATTTTGAAACCGCTGCTGTATCCGATGCTGATTCCACTGCTGACTCCGACGCTGATTCCACTGCTGATTCCACTGCTGACTCCGATGCTGATTCCACTGCTGCTGACTCCGATGCTGATTCCACTGCTGTCTCCGATGTTGTGGATTCCTCTGCCTAGACCTAAACTTCTTTAACCGTTGCCAAAGAGAGACAAACTAACAAAGATTCAGATTATATTAAATTAACAGTAAAGCTAAATTATTAAAATTGGTATTACATGAAATGTACTACAAAATATATTCGAATTTGCGTTATTCCTGACTGACTGTATATCTATTCGAAAATAAATCTCGGCTTTCTTTGCAAAAAAATTGTGTGTTCATTGTCATTTCTTCAATAAGCATGCTTTCCACAGTATTTTGCGATAGTTGTTGGTTTTATTTTATTAATTTGCAACATGATATATCCAGGTGTGCATTGTGCCGAAGTAGGCAACACTCCGGGCGTCGGGGATCGAAAGATTATCTCCAGCCACTATAAGCGCAGGTCTGCGGACGGCGAATAAGGGTGGCTTCCCGGCCGTCCTGCCGGGTTGCGGAGCAAGCACAATGCAGCAAAGGCCTAAAGCAGGAAAAATAACGCAGGATTTTTAGTCAGTAAGAGTCTTACACTGATGGAAGGGCGAAGTGATTTGATAATTTCCCCCCACAAAAACGCGTATGGATTGAAGTATTGGACCTAATGATGACTCCTGCGATACGCCAATAGTAAAATGTAATCAAAAAAATCGAACGCAAAGCTAGGTACTTTTTCATCTTAAGTTGCCTATTTTGAAGTTTGTATGAATTTAATAAATCTATAGATGCCCCAGAATGCCTTATTTTGTTCTAGCTTCAGCTAAAGTGTCTCGTGCTCTATGCAGAAATCCACAAAATATTTCAATGGCATTCTGTGCTTTTTCCCACGAGGTCAAAACCAGGAACAAATTGGCGGACGCCAGCGTGAGTAGGGCATCGTACCTTGGCGATCCCATATTGTTGATCTTGAAAGATGGAATTCATCATCCATCATCATGCTGTATCCGATTTTTAAGACTTTCATACACTTTACTTAGCACTGGTAAAATTAGAACACTGCCTATGTTAATAAGTGCCGAAATATAGGAAATCACCTTTAATGTAACTGGAGTGTAGAAAAGTTAAATAAGGGTTACCCGAGGAACAATCCTTCCCCTCCCCACCACTCCTCAATTTCTTTTTTTGTGAGGGGAATATCATTAAATGCCTTCTTCCGCCCAGGGTGAGGCGAGAGGGAGTGTCAGACGGAAACCCCCGTTCCCGTCCCTGCTTTAAGCCGAGGCTATGGTGGATACTTTATTGCACAAGCCCCCCAAACTTCGGCTCCTCAATCCCTAAATTTCCGAAACCCTTAGTCCCCAACAGACAGGCAACGAACTTGCGATTCCTGGGGTGTTGTATCCATGAGGGCGCAGTTTGCTTACCATCTGTGTGTTCGGGTCTCGTCGTTCGACGTCCAACCAACCAATCACATAAAACTTAAGTTAACTACAAAGCTTCTGTATTTTTAAGCCCGAAATATTTTCATGACCTTCCTTATTTTTGGGCAACCTATCGAATTTGCACTCTTCGGTATTTGAATAAATTCACAGTAATATGATTAAGTTCTAGCAGTTTCATTATAATTCATTTTCCACGCTTTTTACAGTACGCTTGCTAATGAATTCAAATAATAAAAACTTCGATAACAGCGTTTAGTTTGCCGTGTGACTGGAGGTTACCGGAGGCCCGATACTTACCCTCCCCCAATCCCTAATCCCCCAAAGGCCGGCAACGCACTCGTAACTCTTTCGTTGTTGCGGGTGTCCATGGGCGGCGTTGATTGCTTACGATACTGTTATGCGTCGACTCTTTTGCCGTACTATTACACAAAATAAGATAAATAGCACGAGATTATAACATAACACATAGGACACGTGCTCACACATGGTCAAGGACAAAAGGACAAGGATAAAAAAAAAACTATTTTGTTCTCCTTGAAAATCGTTTTAAAAGAACCGTTATTAATAAGGAGAATTATCTACGACAATTTCAGTGTTGCAACGTTATGACAAGTAAGTACTAAATAGTTGTTTTTATATTGTAGTTATATTTTTTGTGAGGAGCAAATCATCAAATGACTTCTCCCGCCCAGGGCCGGGCGAGAGGGAGTGTCAGACTCTTACTGACTAAAAACCCCCCTGTTCCTTCTCCTGCTCTGGGCCGAGGTCGCGGTGCCTCATGCCGCTTACCCCGCAACCCCGGCAAGTACTAAATAGTGACGTTGCAAAATTACTATCGTTTATAAATTCACTCTCGTAAACAAAATTTATCAGGATATTTTAATATTTCTGAACCGATAATTTAGTTTTGACAATTAATTAATGCTCTGATACTTTTCTTTTATAATAGTGTGTGAAATTAATAAAAAAAATCTGATCTATTATGATAATAATTTATTTTATGAATTGTCTCCGTTATCGCTATCGCTGTTACTTTCTGTCACATTTATTATGAATTGTGTCTGTGATATTTATTGTCAATTAACATATTTAGCTTACTATTTTTTCCTATCCTTTCACAACATGGGATACGCATTTAGAGCATTCGGTAGCCGTAATTTTTTGAATGCCTTCCTGTAATTAATTCACGAATAGTTTATCGATTTTTGTGGTCATCACTACACTGTTATATGTGGTATCATTATTTTACAAAATGACAGTGGCTTATGTCAAATCTAGAATCGAATTAAAATTCTGACTATAGATTTTACTATGAAAACTAACCTTAAGATTAACTCAAAGTAATTATAAAAAGACGGTAAACCAGAATATTAATCACTTATTAATTTGTCTACTTAAGTACAGTTTCATAAAAGTTCCCTATAAACCACACCATTTCTTAGGTATAAGTATTATTTGATGTTCTTATGTTCATCATCATAATCATCATCAGCCTATAAGTGCCCACTGCTGCGCAAAGGCCTCTTCTCACATGGAGAAGGTTTGAGCATTAATCACCACGCTTGCTCAATGCGGGCTGGCGATTTCAAACTTATAATTAGAAATTATAAGTCCAGGTTTCCTCACGATGTTTACCTTCACCACATGTCAGTGGTGTCTAAATAATCATAGAAAGTACATATAACTAGGAAAAAGTCACATTGGTACTTACCCGGTTTCGAACCCACACCCTCGTGGATGAGAAGCGGGCGCTTAACCTCGGGGCCACCACGACACGATGTTCTTATGTTAAAGGACAGAAATTCTGATGGGAATGTAGAGAGACCGTAACAGATCGACCTAAATAGTATTTTTTGGTTTAAAGTCTAGCATTAAGATTTTCTTCTGTACCGTGGGTGCGTTTACAAATATACAATTTCACATATGCATCACAATCAAACCCGGAACAACAATTTGTGGAACACACAGATTTGTTCCGAACTCATGACACGTTTTGCACGGCAGCCAGTTGCCCAGCTACCACGACAAACCGTGCAGTCAAAAATTGAAGCCAAGAAATATAAACAAAGAGTAATTTTTGTATATATTTATTATCAGAAACAAGGCGTGCAAGTAGGGTGATTATGTGGCCAGCGTGCAGAGCATGGCAGTCCCGCGCTTGACCCAGAAGTCGGCGCTCTCCTTGCCGGCCGCCAGCTCCACGGCCACCACGAAGGCGCCCATGCGCAGCGGGTAGTAGTAGCATGGACAAGTGTACCGGTCTGCAAGGATTTCCGTGGATTGACAACTAAACAACAACTTAAGTGTGGGAGAGCCAAGCTTCGGCACAAATGAGTCGGCTCGACCGGCGTGAAACAATTACAGCGTTGTGTGAGTGAGGCTCAGAATACAGAACAAACCAGAATCCGCGTTCACTCATAATTGCATGTCGTCAAATGTGTCCAAAAACAATACGTCAATCCCCCCGCCAGCCGCACTTCCCACTTCCCACCCGCGTAGTGTTGCCGACAGTGGAACAATTCCCTTGGTTTGGGGTAATTTTGCAACAGGAGGGTAAGATACGAGTAAACCCAACAAAATAAGTAAACTTACAATAAATGCAACAGACTAGTTGTTCACACATTTCATAGAGGTATCATAAAAGTTGACGATTTCTGGATTTGTTAATTTTAGTTACACCTACTATACACAACAAATAAAATAAAGCTTCAATAAGTACAAAGGTTTTATTGCGTTCCCTTTTGCTGGTTTAGTTTTTTATATGTATTGTCTTTAGACTCCGAACTAAAGATTAGAAGTCTACTTACTTTACTTAGTTCCTGAGATTAACGCATTCTAGCAAACAAACAAACTCTTCAGCATTATAATTAGTATAGATATATCTTAGTAGGATATGCTGTTTTCAAACCACCTTTGTCATAAATATATCTCTTCAAAGTGAATTGAGCAAACTATGCTCTGGCTAGATGGTTTCCAAAATTAATCTAACCGTGCCATTTGTATGATTTGTATTTATTTTTTTGTCAGGGAAACTAATATGACATAGGCTCCATAATGGACAAAAATATAACCCACAACAAATAAATAAGTGGGTAAAATTTTCACCAAAAATGACAACACAAAATGGCCGCATCATTTTCATAGAAAAATAAATCGATAAAAAAAATTCAATCATTAATTAAATATACTATTGCAGTCGATGCTTGCAGATGAAATGTAATCTTATCCACTTTTTTCGTAATTCCAGTCGCATTTTTACTCGTAGTAATAACACAAGACGGATTAATGAAATTAAAATTGATACTCGTAAATACGTCACGGCATGCCAACTGCCAAAATTGACTAATCGTAGAAATTTCATACTATTCTAGTTGAGAATGGTTTTAGTTGCTTTAGTTTGAAGCGCGATGACGCCTTCTGGTTTGTTCTGTATTCTGAGGAGTGAGGTTACCGGAGACCCAATCCGTCCCCAATCCCTAAATCTCCAAATCCGTAATCCCCAAAAGTCCAGACTCGCAACTCTTCCATTTTTGTAGGTGTCCAAAGGCGGCGCAAATTGGTAACCATCAGGTAATACGGGTAAAACAAACCTTCACACAATCATATAATTATCCAAAAGGGACCAGGTATTCTCTAGTTTAAGCGAGACTGACGAAACGCAATTGATTTTTATATTTAAAATAAAATGCCTGTAATAAATGGATAATAAGAAACAAGTACGTACTGCGCGTCCGCTTGCCGGTAATGCGGACGGGCTTGAAGTGTATGGGGGACATGGGGAACACCAGCTGCATGGGCAGCGGCTCCTGCAGGTGCCCGTCCTTGCGGAACCATGACGCGCCCTCCAGGTACTGGCCCCTACCACACACGGGGCGATTAACATTTTGTGTAACTATAATTGTCTTTAAGATCGCTGTATAGATCTGTATTTGCAGGGTGTTATTTTGAACGAGGGATATATTCATGTATGGAAATCATAAAAAAACTTTTACTTCTCTATGCAAAATGATCAATCAGCTGTTGCGATTTGTATGGAGAAATAAATTTATATTTGAGATTTGGATATTGGTACCATGGAAACAATAGTTTTATTTGAGTGTTTATGAATGAGTGAATTTTCAAGGAGCAGTTTCTATCTCACCTGAGTGTATTGATCAAAAGAAGAAAATAATAGTTTTTGTAGATACGCTATAACAGAGTTTTACATGTCAGTATTATAAAAATAATTTTAGGGACGAAAAGGTTGCCACCACGGCCTCGTAGAAAACCGGCGTGAAACAACCACAGCCGTGTAAGTGAGGTTACCGGAGGCCTTTTACCCTAATCCATAAATTCGTGTTGTGGGTATCCATGGGTGGCGCCGATTACTAGGAGGTAATCCGTCTGCTTGTTAGACGAAGTTATTTTTAAAGCACAGAATAATATGAAATTAGTATGAAAACCGTCTCCAACACACTACTTGAAGAGTGAAAATTATGGCATACCCGTCTTTTGTTAATATGACTCCAGCATTGGACTCATATGATGACTACGACGATGAACTTATTTTCTTAACTTTTTTATCGTATATGGAATGTATATAGGCTGGGCCCGCTACCTGATGTAGACCCCGCCGTCCCTGGGCGGGCGCACGAACCCAGACTCCTCGAGAGGCATCACGGTGAACTCCCAGCACAGAGTGTCGATGGGCCAGCTCTCCCCTCGGGCTGTCGTCTACAACAACACCACCGGTTACACAAACCAACACATTCTGTTATTTTTTGTATAGTTACTGTAAATAGCTCAGCCACGCTGCTCATGAATAAGATTCCTGTTGTGACTTGAAATTAGTATGGTGTGTGTGGGACCTGCATGACGGCGGTGAGGAAGCCGGTGGGGGCGACGAAGGCGGGCAGCCAGCACAGCGTGGGGGGGGAGTGTGGTGTGGTGAGGGTATGGTGTGTGTGGGACCTGCATGACGGCGGTGAGGAAGCCGGTGGGGGCGACGAAGGCGGGCAGCCAGCACAGCGTGGGGGGGGAGTGTGGTGTGGTGAGGGTATGGTGTGTGTGGGACCTGCATGACGGCGGTGAGGAAGCCGGTGGGGGCGACGAAGGCGGGCAGCCAGCACAGCGTGGGGGGGGAGTGTGGTGTGGTGAGGGTATGGTGTGTGTGGGACCTGCATGACGGCGGTGAGGAAGCCGGTGGGGGCGACGAAGGCGGGCAGCCAGCACAGCGTGGGGGGGGAGTGTGGTGTGGTGAGGGTATGGTGTGTGTGGGACCTGCATGACGGCGGTGAGGAAGCCGGTGGGGGCGACGAAGGCGGGCAGCCAGCACAGCGTGGGGGGGGAGTGTGGTGTGGTGAGGGTATGGTGTGTGTGGGACCTGCATGACGGCGGTGAGGAAGCCGGTGGGGGCGACGAAGGCGGGCAGCCAGCACAGCGTGGGGGGGGCGCGTGGCGCGGCTGCCCACCCCCCCAGATGCGCCCCGCGCTGGTACAGCTCGCGGCACCACGCGCCCAGCGGCTTCATCGACGGACGACCTGAGGAGGGAGAGGGGATCACCAAATAATCAGAAAGCACACAAAAACACGGAAACCTAAACAAACAAATGTGTACGAACCTCTAAGCCAGAATTCCGGAGTCCTACCCTCAAAAATACAGGTGTACATCGTCTCCAGCATCTCCGACATCACCACCAGACCTTCGATAGCGCGCCGAAGTTCCTATAACAGAGCTCATTAAATACGGCTATCTTCCTAAATAGTCAAAAAAAATGGAAACAGATATAAAAAAGTCATTGTCTTCCACCATGATCGTGATTTTTTTGCTACCAATATCACTATATGGCCTATGGCCTATCTTCATATGGCAATCCCGGACCTATACGACCTTCAAAACTTCAAGAAACGAGCTTTCTCCTTCTTTAAAGGCCTGTGGCCCCTTACGTGCTGCAGGTGTAAATGGGCGGCGATGATCACTTACCCCCAGGTAATGTACTCGTTTGCCTCCTATTCCATAAAAAATATGAACTGCCTAACAATATTGGTTTTGTAGGACTACTAAACACAAAAATATAGTTTTTTATTCGCACCTCCAGCCCTGGAGATTAGTACGATCAAACAAATTACATTTAGAAATAAAACGTTGTCCCTACACCTTCAGCAAGGGATATTTGCGCAGACGGATTACCTGATGGTAAGCAATCGGCGCCGCCCATGGACACCCGCAACACCAAAAGGGCTACGACTGCGTTATCAGCCTTTTGGAGATCAGGGTTTCGGATATTTAAGGATTGGGGTAGAAAATTAGTGACCTTGAGTCCAGAAACGATGATATTGATGAGCATGTTGAAGTATCCAATCTCTTGGAGCAGAGAAACACACATGGGCATCACAATCTCGGGTCCCATCATTCGTTCCGTCGTCTCCATGTCGATCCGAGGCGGCAGTTTTACCAACATTTCCTGTGCTAGCTCGTCCACCTGGACAAAAGAAAATTGGTATCTAACATCAAATTGATAAGGTTGAAAATATGTTAAGGAATGGATACCTAAAGTCCTGTATATGCTTATACAGAAATCAGTAGGCACAGTTCTAGGCACACTTACCTCGACCATAGTTGACATAATGTACATACAAGTCTTAAGAAAAAATGCATGGATGGCAGATGGCAGAAAAACTATGGCAAAACCGTATTCGCACACACACTATCATCCAAACAGAACACAGTTACCGGACATTAAAAAAAATTACATTGCTACAAATGTGGATTTTCTCTTGTGCAATGGGTCACATTATAATTAGACCCGCAACAACAATTTGTTGATCACACAAAGCATTGTTCCGTGCGGGAATAGAACTCGCGATACGGAGTATTTTGCTCGTTCTTCTCCATTCGAATTTACAATTTGGAACGAGCATCTAGCTTCTCTGACTGACAGACTACTATTCTATTTTGACGTTTCAAAAGCACCTATTTATGGTTGAGTTGGAATGAATGATTTTGACTTGACATGTTGCACAGTTGCCGAGCCACCGTGTCTGAGTAGTCTAGTAAGTGTCGTCGGTTCATATACAAAGAGGAGTTACCTTTTGGTCCTCACCGCCTCCCGCGCCGCCTCCACCGGTACTGGCCAGGGCAAACAGCGTAGAGCACATTATCAGCGCGTCCTTTGCAATACAAACATCATCAGCGTCATTACCATAATCAATCATAGATATAAATAAAATTCATCAAACCCCAAGCGGACGCTGGCGTTCACGCATCTATTGTTCTTCTATTGTGTTTAATCGTGTTAAAAACGAAAACTTATATTTCATTGAAATCAATTACTTCCCCATTACATATCTACGCGAAATTTTGTTATAATGATGCGATGGATGGGTGTGTGTTACTCATCCACGTAAAAACCATTGAACAGATCTGTATGAAACTTTTTTCTTTAATGTAATTGGTCGGCAAACGAGCAGACGGATTACCTGATGGTAAGCAATTAGCGCCGCCCATTGACACCCGCAACGGAGGAGTTACGAGTGCGTTGCCGACCTTTTAGGGATTAGGGATTTGGAGATTTAGGGATTGAGGAGGGATTGGGGGCGGGGAAGGATTGGGCCCCCGGTAACCTCAGTCACACGGCGAAACACAACGCTGTGGTTGTTTCACGCCGGTCTTCTGTGAGGCCGTGGTATAACTCCGGTCGAGCCGACCCATTCGTGCCGAAGCATGGCTCTCCCACACTTGAAACTGACCAAACACACTTAAAACCACACTTAACTTGACACAGAGATATGTTACAGTCTAGGAGAACATATTGGCATTTAAGAACAGTGGGCGATCTAGCCGAAGCTAGTATTAAGCACAGTTGAGGAACAAAGTGTTAAGGCTCCCGCTTTTCATGCATGAGCATGAGGGTGCTGGTTTGGCAAGTACCAATGTGACTTTTTCCGATTTATACATGTACTACTACTGACTAAATGATGAATGAAAAAATCGGATATAATTTTTAAATCGCCAATCTACCTTGAGCAAGCGTGGTGATTAATGATCAAACCTTCTCCGTGTGAGAAGAGGCCTTTGGTCAGCAGTGGGCACTTATAGGCTGATGATGATGATGTGATATGAAGTACAAAGTGTGAGTTACCTGTGCGAGAGTGGCGACATCTGCGGAGGCGTGTTGTCCCAGCGACTCGGCGCGCTCGTAGGCCGGCAGTAGGTCCAGGAAGTCGCGGTACGACTCCAGCGACCCGTCGCGCGGGATGTGGTACGCCGGGATTGTAGACAGCCTACGTTCATAGTTATAATATGATATAATATTTATTGCAGACATTACATCCATATATTTATGTACTGTGATTTACAGTTATATGTCACTAATGTACTACTATTGCTTGGCTTCTGTGAGTAATTTATGCCATTATAATACTGCTCTATCTTATGACGTCATAGATATTATTATATTTTTATGGTAATCAGCATCGTACCTAAGTATGATATAGGTCCATGGACTTCTGAAACACCCGAAGAGTTGCAAATCTTTCAGGGATTGGGTTTTAGGGATTTAGTGATTGAAGATTTGAGAACAACAGACAGTGGTACTCACACAACAAAACAAAATTTCTACATCATTTTTTTTTATCATTGACACATCAACGAGTTGGCGTGGTAACAAAAAAATATTTCACTTTACCGCCTTTTTATTAATAAGTAATAATAAATAATAAATAAATTTTTATTGATAACTTTCTACAAAATATTGTTTATAATAAGCCACAGTAATTTCAATAGTTAACTTTTAGGTATTTATATAATGCAAGGTAATTATAACTTATACTATTATTTTCACAATTATGAAATACTTGTTATTAACAAGGACTTACGATATTAAAGTGACCTGCCCGAGCTAGGTTTATGTAAACCTGTGTTTCAGACCATCAGTCTTCGACTTTTTAATACGTGGGGCAAATACAATTAATATTACTAATGAAAAAAGTATATTGTTTATGACTACAAGACTAAATATTATACATATAAAATTATAAAACAGATTTAAAATAACACTTAAAGTGTTTGTTTCTTACGGACTAGTAACCAACATTGTACGATTTCTAAAAGTTTTTAGAAATAGATCAATTTACGCATCAATAGCACATACGATCTAGTACACAAAAGACCGATGTGTTTACGGAAGTTCAGATTTGTGTCAATTGTTACACCTACATATTTAGTATAGTCAGCATTTACCAAAGCAGGGCAAGTGCATGCAAAGTCAGCGTGCGAAATTAAGTTATGTGCGATTATTTTTAAATTGCATACTTGCGCGTCAGACACAGAAAAACTGTCTAGGTCATCTATTAGCTGAGTGGTCATAATAATTACAAATTAACAATTTTTAAGAATACAAAATAAAAGTTTATTTCTAAAGTGCTTACATACTAAGGTGTGTGGTAGCATTAGGCCCCTTCATAGTCTATGGAATTAATGTAGTAGTCTTCTGCGTATTTGCGAGCTGGGCAACTCATATCCCCTGTTGGATGGTCACATTTACGCTTAAAACGTTTGCACGTCGCACATTGTGAGGGAGAAGATTTGTTACTACAGTCCTTGAAGGAGTGGCCAGTTTCTCCACAGTGATTGCATGTAGCAATAGCTTCTCGGCAAAACTTGGCCGCATGACCAAACTGTTGGCAATTAAAGCACCTTGTCACAATGGTAAAATCTCGGACCGGACAAGACGTCCAATTGATGAAGATTCGGCCTTGATTAATTAATGCTCTCCTAATGCTGGCATGAACTTCCAAAACATAGTTAGAGTTAGAAAGATTCATCTTACCCGATTTGTGGCTCAATTTGATTGTTTCCAGGAATGACTCACGTGTTATATTCGGCAACTTGTCGGTAATGTTTTGCTCGAATATGCAATCGAATACCTCTTTTTCTGTAAGGGCTACTGGTACACCAATAACAGCAATCCTGGGTCGACGTTTTGATGGTTCTTCAATTTTAAGACCAGATGAAACTAATTTTTCTGAGTTCTTAAGTTTTTCAATGTCCCCTTTAGTTTCAGTATTAATTATGACACCCCCATTTCTAACCTTCTTCAATCCACGAACGTGCAGCTTAAGTTCTTCCGGCGAGATAATCTTTTGGACCAGAGACTTTGTTTCGTCACTCGTTTTGGTCTTGTCATTGGGATAAATTACAACAGAATTCAAATTTTCTGGACAAACAAAAGTATCCGATCCTTTTTTAACCATATTGGCATATGATTTAGTCTTGGGTTGAATTTTATTTTCGACGGCATCTTTGAGCTGCTGCAGAGAGTTTGAGATATTCAGCTGTTCTTGTAAATGCTGATTTGAGTTATGGGCCTGGATAGTTTTCTGCTTCAGAGCTTGGTATAAAATGGCCATTTGAGACGATTGATCGCTAGAAACCTTTCGGCAAAGATTGGTAACTCGAAGCTTCTGTTCAGAGTTCATTTTCCCCTCCGAAACAATAATGCAGACTTCATTCAAGATTGAGTCAATTGAGCTCATCCACTTCTGTATCTCCGGCGTAGAAATTACTTCACTTGGTAATTCATTTTCCCTGACTGGAGGCGGGCTAGGATCTCTAGGAGGTTCCGATGGCGTCGATGGTGGGCTTCGCCGTAGTAATTGGCTACGGCCAAATGGGCTGGCTTCTGGGTTAGACATAACTAACACAGTAACAAAAATTGTTTAAAAATAGTTTATTTGTTCATTTTACACTATGACAAAGTTGTTGGTCACCTACTAAGCACTCATGACACACTTTACTTGATATAAATCTGACGCCACAAAATATTTTTTTCATTTTTTTATTTCGCAATTATTTATAGGTGTGCATTATAAATAACAAAAGACACGTCTGTTTAGTCTCGCTAGTCAGCACAGAATCCAAAAAAAATAATAATAGTAATAATACCTATTATAATAATTTCTTATATGTAAGGAAAAGCTGCTGCATATAATTTGTGATTTTTTTTCTTATAAAAACGCTGCCCCGTTCGTGGGTTAGCAAAATATATGCACATCACACCCAGACCCGAAATAACAACGCACGATAGTCAGTCATGCAGTCAACTTAATCTTCTATAAAGAAGATTAAGTTGACTGCCTATACAAGTCAAAAAAAAAGTCAAAAATCATTTATTCCAATTAGACCTTTACAGGCACTTTTGAACGACAAACAAAATTTTGAAGATATAGTGTCAGTCTGTCGATCAGTCCTCTTAGTGAAGCTATTTATATTTCTACTACTGACCTGTAGAAAGGAGTTTCGAGGGCCTCTTCGTTGAAGAACTGGTTGATGTAAGCAATCAGCACTCGCTTGTCCCAATCATCAGTAATGTGTCCTCCATAGTTGATGATGGCGAACAGGTATCTGAGCGCGTCCCATGGAACCTCTTCGTATTCTTCTAAGTAATTTGCTAATAAATTGTCTGAAACCTGATGATTAGAATGTTTTTTACAAACTTCTGTATAAATTATAAACTTGCTATTATTTATTTTGGACCTCCGATAACCTCACTTACACGGCGAAACACTACGATGTGGTTGTATCACGCCGGTTTTAAGGCCGTGGTATCACTCCGGTCGAGCTGAGCCATTCGTGCCGAAACTTGGCTCTCCCACATTTATAGGTATAGTAATACTATTCTTTTTTTTTTGTGGAAACATTGCCCTACACTAGGATTTTTTTCTGTGTCGTGGGTGCGGTTACAAACATAAAATTTCACATACAGATCACACCCAGACCGGGAACAACAATATGTGGATCACACAAAGAGTTGTTCCGTGCGGGAATCGAACCCGCGAACCGTGCAGTCAAAAATGTATACTACTTTTATTTAGATTAATAATATTGTATAATATAGTTACATCGAAGTCAGCATCGTTGAAGCTGTAGACAGCGTTGTACCCGAGCTGGCGGAACCGCTTGCGCGCGATGAGGGTGCAGTGGAAGAACGACACGCAGAACAACAGGCGGCGGTACATCGGGGTCGCCTCGTCGAACTTGTCCTCGTTTATATTCGCGAACAAACGGACCAAGTTGCCCTTCAAACCCTGGTCAAAGTCACAGTTTAATAATATATTTCAACTAAACTACACGGTTGTTTCCAACTAGTCAAATTCAATACTTTTATCCAAATGTCAAAAACGATACTTTTCTATGAAAATTGTATGAAACATTGAATTATGACGTCATAGCATTTTTGCGTCAAATGGATTACTTATTTTTAAAAATTAGCTAAAAAATATCTAAAACTTAATGTGTCGATCGATCGATGAATAAAAGTATAGTTATTTTTCAATATTTTATCGTATTAAAACGTCGAATTAATTTATTTTTGACCTAGGAAACTACCCAATTAGCAGGTTCTTTTGAAACGACTTTGAAAATGGAATGGAAGTCGGTTAGTCCTTCCGTCAGGGAAGCTAAATGCTTGTTCAAAGTTGTAAATTCGAATGAAGAAGAATAAGTAAGAACTCCACCGTTAGTCTTAAAAAAAAATATGTGATAAGATCGGCTAATGAGCTTACAGATTACCTGATGGTAAGCAATCAACGCCACCCATGAACACACGCAACAACAGAGGTGTTATAAGTGCGTTACCGACTTTTTGGGGAATAGGGATTTGGAGATTTAGGGATTGGTGGGAGGGGGAGATTGGGCCTCCTGTAACCTCACTCTCGCGGCAAAACACAACGTTGATATTGTGTGCAAGTTAACGAAATATTCTTTGTTTCAAATGATATAGATACCAGCAGGTCATTGACAATGTTCTGTTATAACTTTACACAAAAAACAAAAAAAAAATATTTGAGAAACATTATACATAGAATTACTATGTTATAACAAACCTGTGGTGGCTCCGTGGTCATCTTGATGCTTCGCTGCAGAATGTTGAGGGGGAACTTGTTGTCTGGCATGGAGGATAGCCACAGCCTGAACCGGGGGTGGATCTTGGGGTTGTCCAGCCCTCGGAGGGACCCCAACCATTCACATGCCAGGTGACAGTTTGCCAGGAACACCCAGCCACCTTCCTTCATGCCGTGGGATAGCATCCTGGTGTCATTACACTTTTATTATTATATTGTTGGTGAGAAAGGAGAAAATTGGAGAATTAAAAAAATTGAACCCTATGCTAATAAGGAAGAGGCGTCCACATGTACAGTATTTAAACTACCTACGTGATCCAAAATGCAGATATCCTGAATACGACGTATCCATTCTTTAAAGGAATTCGAGACAATGTGAAGTTCCGAAATATACTAACTCAACTATACACTGATTCTTTTGAAAAGTTAAAAAAAATCGTCACTGTATCTAGCGCTTCGAACCCCAAGTGGTAACCGGTTGCCGGACCTACGCACTGCTAGCTGATCATTCCAAAATAGAAGTTTATCCTATAATAAAACGTACAAGAATGGGGATATAAAATAAGAAATTGTTAAAAGCGTCGTACTTGGTGGCGGTGGGGGCCTGTCCCTGTCCCAGACTGAGCGACTGGAAGCGCTCGAACATCTTGACGTCCTGCGAGAGCTGTATGAGCGCGGCCGTGGGGTCCACGCCGGGCGACAGCACGAACAGTAGCGGCGTCTTCCACGACGACTCCTCCCACGCCGCCTGCACACGCCGACCACGCTCGTTATTGGCCACCGTGACTAACAACCAGGTGGATTACCTGATGGTAAGCCATCGGCGCCGCCCATGGACACCCGCAACACTAAAGGAGTTACGAGTGCGTTGCCGGCCTTTTGGGGATAGGGGTTGCGGATATAAGGATCGGGAAGGGATAGGGGAAGGGGCGGAATTGGGCCTCCGGTAACCTCACTCACACGGCGAAACACAACGCTGTGGTTGTTTCACGCTAGTATTCTGTGAGGCCGTGGTATCACTCCGGTCGAGCCGACCCATTCGTGCCGAAGCTTGGCTCTCCCACAGTTAAAGGGAGATTTTGAATGAAAGGATTGAACCTCCAGTAACTTTATTCATGCGCCAGTATTCTGAGAGGCCGTGTTATCACCCCATTCCCAAACCCGTTAGTATAATTCCCGTGAGCCAGGGTATCAATTACCAACTAAAACTATAAACAGATACCAAAAGCTCCTCCTTTGACGAAAGACGGCATTTAATGAAATCCCCCCTTTAAAAAAACCAAAACAGTAGTTGGGGCATCGAAAATAACCTTTTCATTATAATAAGCCCTAGTGAGATTTGAATCTAGTAACATGGCGGGGTTGCGGTTGCAAACGCAATAATGTACCGCTGCCCCGGGCCTAAAGCAGAAGAAAAAACGGGATAGAAAAAACCTAGTACCACTTTCGACAAAACGTTTGACCAAGTAAATTGGACTAACCCGTATATCCAGTACAGGAGGCTCGACATAGCGCGGCCCGAGCAAGTTGACGATGAAGGTAGTGATGCAGGCAGACACGCGGTCCACGCGCAGCGATCTTATAAATAGGATCTTCTGGAAGTCACTGCAGATTTCGTTCCAATCACCTGAAGAAGCCATTATTCATTTATGAGTAAAAAAGTACTCGCGGCTTGAATGGAAATATTGCAGTGAGATTGTCCTGATCTGTTGAAATTATCCCTTAAGAAGAATGATATTCGGTTAATAATCAATAGTCTAAAAAACTATGAAGCTTGAATAAATTAACATTATTACGAAAAGAGTTCCTCAGGGTGGTACATTGGGACCAATTTTATTCTGCATTCAATATTAATTTGAACAGTTTGTATAATTGTGATTTCTTACATAAAAGACTGTAAAATGTTAGATGAAATAGTTTAGATTATGGTCAGTAATTAATTATGGACTACCGTTTTTTGCTCATTTTTTGCTTATTTTTTGTTATAGCACTGTAGCTGAAAATTGGCCGGCCAATGGGCAATTTTATTCTCTATTAATGTCAATCGACGAAAGAATGGGTATTTCCTGACTATCCCCTATACTTTTCTAAAATTAACATTCACATCAATCTTCTATTGACCAAACACAATAAAAAAAGAATCAGCGAAAACGATTTAGCTGTTTTCGAGATTTGCGCTTACAAACATAACTAGTGATATTTTTTTATATCACAAGATGTTTTTGGACTTCACGTTTGTTGGCTTAGAACCATCTGGTGGACAAAATACGCCCTAATTTCAACTATAAAACAACATTATTAGTAGGCAGTTATTATATCACCAATAAGAGGCTGTGTCTCAGGCTCTGGATGTAGGTACCACTCCTTCCATTCCTTGGTGAGCGGCTCGAACACGTCGACGAGGCCGTGGAAGCCGGGCAACTTGTCCAACTCCGTTATATTGTCCCAGCACTCCTCCGGCATCCAATCTGTTGCCATTCATTCAATACTTATTCGAGGCTCAAGGTCACATTGCCAGCAAAACTTTAAAATCGATTAAGCAGTATAAATTAAGTGTTAGCTGGTTAATGGGATGATTTTAAAATAGCGACAAATTAGTGATTACCACCGAAATTCACACAACAGGTAATCCAGCCATTTGGCTCATCATCATCATCAGCCCGTAAGTGCCCACTGCTGAGCAAAGGCCTCTTCTCACACGGAGAAGGTTTAGAGCATTAATCACCACGCTTGCTCAAAGCGGGTTGGCGATGTCAAACTTATAATTTGAAATTATAAGTCCAGATTTCCTCACGATGTTTACCTTCACCGCATGTCAGTGCGGTTAGTGGTGTCTAAATAATCATAGAAAGTACATATAACTCGGAAAAAGTCACTTAGGTTCTTTTAAGTTTTCGAACCCACGCCCTCATGCATGAGAAGCGGGTTCCTTAACCTCTGAGCCACCACGACACACACACACTCAAACTACAAAAATATTTCTTGGTCCTGTCATTCCACACTATAATTCTATGATAAATATAAAGCTGAAGATTAAGACTTTGTTGGCCTGAACCATCTCAGGAACTACTGGTTCTAATTGAAGAATTATTTCCAAGACCGTTTATCTACAAAAACTATAGGCTAAGAACAACACTTCCACTAGGAGAAAGGCAGTGGATTAAACCGATTGGTAGTAACAAGAAAAGTATAATACGTTACTGGTAGGATTGTCCGGTTGTTCCGATCTGTCGAGTACAACTCCTCCCTTCAAGAGGAACATGTACTCGTTGCGACTCATCTTGCCACTTTGGAAAAGAATCCGGGACACAATGTGGAACGATAATAGTAGCTTGTGTCGCTCGAACAGTGCTCGGCACGTGTTCCTGTGGGGCACAAGAAGAATCAGGACAATAGATACTTTGAATAGTAGTTGTGTAAGTGTATTAAATAACAGTGAGGAAGCTCCGTAACCATAACCAAAACTATCTGATATCCGATATAAGAAAAGAATCCGAAATAAAAATTTAGTATATTATCGGATAGGAGCGGAGCCTAATTGAGACATGTTTGTATTTTACTTTCGAAATTCCTTAAAATTTAAATATCTATAATCGAAATTATCCAAAACTAACGGATATAATATATGAAAATAAAATAAATAAATAGACTTCATTGTTCGGTTGGTGAAGGGTCTGGCCAACTCTATGTAATCCACAAATTGCTGTTCCGGATCTGGGTGTGATGTGTATGTGAATTTGTACGTTTGTAAACGCACCCACGACACAGGATAGGAGTGCGGATCCTCGTTAATAGTCAACGCCAATTAGCATTTATTTGAGAGTTGAAAACATTCAAACAAAATTCTCGTCGATCTAGCGGTCGCAATTCTTGTGTGACTGTGCAGCGAAAATTGCCAGGAGTAGCCAGTTTTTAAGTTATTTCGGCTTTCTACAAGGAGTTGTGAATTGTTCTAAGCTTTTGAAACGTCAAAGTGTAGTACCCAGAGCCACCCCTTTCTTACATGGGGTTACTGAACTCACTTTGCAATCATAATTTACCTCACACTCAATGTTTTTAGTTTACATTCGCTTGTGGAGTGTTATAAGTTTTTTCCTAATTCTGTGTACACAGTCAGTTTACATCTCTTTTTATACTAACTTTCCCATAGCGAGCCTGCTGGAAGAGATTTCTGAAGAAATAAGTAGTGCCTATATACCTAATCGTTGTATTATGCAGTTGTTGTATGTTATTATAAATAAATAAGGAATCAATTATAAACCCTGTTTAAAAAAATCGGGAGAAAGAAGGACCTTCTATCTACTGTCTGCTTAAAAATAGCTTTAACTTACTTGTAAACAGCATAAGTATGGAATTCGTTAAGATTATTGATCCTGTCTTCAAGCTCGCCTGCCTTGGGGCTGCGGTCTATGGAGTACATGAACAGGTCGATGTACGCGTCCAGCGAGAACTGGTACATTGGGTCGATGCGCGAAAGGTCGTTCAGGGCGAAGAATAGCACTGATGCACGGACAGCCACTGGGACGTAACCCTGGCCAATAATGTCCAAATAAGTACTGTAACACTTTTTTATACAAACCAGGAGACGAATCACTATATCACCACTAGCTGTCTCGCGCAGCTTTTGCCGCGTTCCGAGGGAACTACTTCCCGCAAACGAAAATAATATAGCTTATAGGACTCAAGGACATTGAAGCTACCAGTGTAAAAATTTTGGTTATCCGACCAGCGGTTCCAAAGATTACCCTCTACATACAAACTTACAACATTTTCCTTTTATAAAATTTGTATAGATCAGAATTTATATCCTCGTTTGCTGACATCAGCCCATAAGCACCTGCAGCCAAAGTCATTACAAGTGCGGCCTTTTTAGGATTTCCGAACCGATACGACTTTCAAACCTTCAAGAAACGAGCGTAGGTACTCCAACATAAAAAGCTGACAAAACCCCAGTGACATTTGTGCTATTGAATCTATAGGCTGCTCTGAACTCTCTCTCTACTCCACAAAAAATTTAGGTTTTTGGAAGCATCGAAGACTTTTATTCTAAAACCTGAAAGAACTCCCTTCGCGAAAAAAGCAAGTTTTATTTCGCCGTGAGAAAAGCTGGTTACTCATGGATAGCTCGGGTATAGCAGGAGTCCATTTGTGGACCTGATTGCTCACCATGATCCGATCCGTATGTGGGGCGCAAACTTACTATATTTCACTTGTAGTCTGCAAAAGACATCACCGGTTTAAATACCAAATTAACAAGGTACATACCGCTCTAGCTGTGTCGATTTCTTTCTCAGTGACCTGTGAGGTGATGAGAGCCTCCTTGACCTCCAAAGAGGTGCGCTGTGAGGTCTGCAGTGTTATGAACAGCTCCTCGTTCTCCAGAAGAGGGACCTGCGACTCGTACATTATGCGGAGGAGGTCGTTCTCTAAGTCTACCTACAAGGGGAGGAAGAAAGTCCAGTTGCAGTATTATTTAAGTATTTTATTTGGATCTAACAGACTGCACACTAACTGTAAAATAACAAGTTGAGGAACAAGGTTCACTGTATTTGTAAAAGCGCTTACAACACCTAAAACACTAAAGAATGTTTTTTCATAAATAAATATTATATCCGATTTCATACCAAATTCACAAAAAAAGTAGTTTTGACATTTCAATATTAGTATTGGATTTTACTAGCTGGAAACTAACTAACTAATATTATATATTGACAACATGAGCCGCTATACATGAGCCGCTCGACTAAGACTATTATTGAACATTAGCTACTCTCGCGCGGTTTCCCCCGCTGCTCAGCGGATACCTACGGATCGTAGCGTAATGTTTTATAGCCCATAGCCTTCCTCGATAAATGGACTAACAAACACAAAAAGAATTGTTCTAGAGATTAGCGCGTTCAAACAAACAAACTCTTCACCTTTATAATATTATAAGTATAGGTAAAGAAGAGCGTTTTCTGTAATTCTTGTTATTGGATTATGTAATCCGGTAATTTCCAACTAGTCAAATACAATACTTTTACTGAATTGTCAAAAACGATACTTTTTTCTAAATTTAGTTTGACATCATAATGTTTTTACGTCATACAACATACTTATTTTGAAAAAGTTTACTACTAAAATTCTAAAATGACGTAAGTATATCGTCTAATTAATTAATGAAAGTATGATATTAAAAAAAATTAGGGGCTGATTTATTAATAGCCAGATAAAAGTTATCTGAGAAATAAAATTGTTGCTGTCACTGTCTTATACAAACATTCATCGTAGCATCATAATTATTCCCCGGATAACTTTTAACCATTGAAAAATCAGCCTTTAAACGTCTAAATAATTTATTTTTGACCTAGGTAACTACCCAATAAGATACTTACAAGCACTTTCTTGTTGTGTGCGATGGAGAGTACTAGTGTATCCTTCATTTGTTCGAGTTGAGGCCTCTCCTTGCGCACGACGATGCCCAGCAGTTGCGAGGTCAGACCTTGCTCCTTCACTGCGAAGTTCACCATCGTCGTCTTCGTCAGCGTCTCCGGAGTGTACACCGGGTTACCTTCACCAGAATAATTATATATATTTAAATTTAAAAAAAATCGTTGCTATACTCTAGAAATTTCTCCCGTGTCGTGGGTGCGTTTACACAAACCACCCAGATCATCAACATCATTTACATGCCATACTGCGAGAATGCCATAAAAAATGTGTAGATGTGATGATCAAACGTCAACGGATTATCTCATGGTAAAACAATCTGCACCGCTCCTGAACACTCAAATACCTACTGCTGACGTTCTAGAGATTAGGGATTGGAGGATTGGAGTTCTGGTAACACGATTCACACGCCGGTTTTCTGTCAAGATAATATATGGCATCAATATGATTGATCAAGATCGGACGAATGATTCGTTCACAATTAATTCGATTTTTCCTCTTAGACATAAAAAGCCTCTCCTCCTCCTCTAGTTTCGGTAAAATTAGCCCAGTTATTTGTCTTTAAAGGCTCAAAGACGTGGTTTCTGCCTAATAAGGTCCATAAATTGGACTCAAATGTGCCTTTATAAGGATCAGAATTATAACCAACTAGCGACTTTCGCGCGGTTTCACCCGCTGCTCTGATCCATTTGATCGTAGCGTGATGTTTTATAGCCTATAGCACTCAGGAACATTGTAGCTATCTATCATTGAAAAAAAGATTTTGGCATTCCGACCAGCGGTTCCAAAGATTACCCCCCTACATAGAAACTTACAAACTTACAAGTTTTACCTCTTTATAATATTAGTATAGATATAGAAGTATAGATCATCATTGATCCTTATAAAAGTATGTGTGATATTAGAGATCAAGTAGATCAAAAATAGCAACAGCTATGTACAACCCTTGAAAAATATCTGCACGACTCTCTGTGTTTTTGTCATGAAGAAGTTATTGCGTTGGAACAAAACCGACTCACCAAGCTTAGTGGTCAAATAAAGATGGAAGTCTTCGTGGTAGGAAACCATCTTGTCGTTAAACTTGATGACCTTCGAGTTGCCAATGGTGACGACAGCCTTTTCTAAAATAGGAGCTATGGACGGATCCAGGACTTCACCAACGTTCTGAATTAAGATCGGTTTGCCAGTCGAGAGACAGGTCTCCATTATCCTCATATAATTTGGTTGACCGAAGTCCACGACCTGGGAAATTACTTCAAGATAATAAATATCGTAACTATTCAACAAGAATGTGTAGTAGGATGAGCTACTTACTTTAAAAAAAAACGTGTTCAACATAATACTGGCAATTTTTTTTATGTAAGATTTCGGCAAACGTGCCTACGGATTACCTGACGGTAAACAACCAGCGCGAGCGCCGCATATGTACACCGATAGCACAAGAGGAGTTACGAGTGCGTTGCCGGTTTTTTGGGGATTAGCATTCCAGAGATTTACGGACTGGGGACGGATGAGGGAAGGCGATAAGGATTGGGCTGTCGGCTAAGTAGCACAACCTTTCAATCATGGTAATTCGAGACACAATAGTAGGTGAATAGGCGCGTGAACGCCGGCGTTCGCTTGCAGTTTGATGAATGAACAAGCTACTAAATTAACAGCCCAGCCTGTTATAAAACTACCTATATCGCAGTACAATTTTAGCAGATGCATTTTTAGGACGTTTTGGTCTTTGCGGTCTTTCTCACCTGAATGTCATTCTTCTCTTCGAGCCTGGAGATCCAGATGAGTGCCTGACCCTGAGGGTCCACGGCTAACGGCCACCGCGTCGCACGCACTACTATGATTCCATTCTCAGCACTGAAGTTGTCATCTAGAAGAACATCAAATATGATTTTTGCCTGAGAAAATACCGCCAATATCACATCATTAGCCTGTATATTCTTACCACCGATGGAAGCCATCGTCTCACACGGAAAAGGTTTGAGCATTAATCATTGCTTGCTCAAGGCGGGTTGGCGATTTCAAACTTATAATACAGAGTCTATATACAGACACGCACCAAACCATCATCAGTGTCTGTCCGCTGCTGGACAAAGGCCACTTCTACCGGCCATTTATTTTATTTTTTTTAGGGGAAAATCATCTAATGACTTCTCCCGCCCAGGGTAAGGCGAGAAATTCAGGCTCTTACTGGCTAAAACCTCCCCCGTTTCTTCTCCTGCTCTGGGCAGAGGTCGCGGTGCCTCATTGCGCTTTCCCCGCAACCCCGGCTGAACATCAGCCCTATAGGACCCCGTCTGTGGTGTTCCATTGGATCTTTGAGGCGCGCGCGGAACGCTACGCACCGTACGCTCGGGTACCCGTGAATACGTGGATGCACCATAATATTATGTATAAGTTAACACCATAATTTTAGTGATAAGACCTCGTGAGTAGATATATTAAATGCTAACCAGGCAATCCCATATAATTCCAATCACGTAGAATTGCGTCGTCCAGCAAGAACTTCTTCATACTGAGATCCATGGTCACCGGCAGAGACTCTTGACACACCTACCATGTGTAATGAAACAATAGAATAGAAACTAGAAGGTCACCGGTATAGAAAATTAAATACGAAGCACTATCATCATTATCACCATGCAAATCCGTAATAGACCTAGACAGACATAAAAAAGAGAAAGGTTTTACCTCCAAAAACCAGTCTTCCATGAGAGACTCCCTGTACTCAGAGACGAAGGGCCCAAGGTATGCCACGAAGCCAGTCGCAATTAAACAGTCTCCAGGTAAATTGTCGAACTCCTTGTCCAAACGTTCCACTGTTATCTCCCATCGAGCCTTCTCGCCTGAGGTATGAAGAATATGCAAAATGAAAATAATAATAGTCCGATTTTTTTAATGGGAGAATTCAAATTATTTCTGTCTCGCCTTGACCACGGTCCATTATTGTGCTTGCGCACGAAACCACGGCTAATAATAATCAATGAAATAATGAATTTGCCTTTGCAAAAGTGTAGGAGAGCTATACTTTGGCACGAATGACCGGAGTGATATCACGGCCTCATAGAAAACCGGAGTGAAACAACCCGAGCGTTGTGTTTCGCCATTTGGATGGGCCCATCCTTCCCCTTCCCAATCCCAAAAACTACAAAACCCTAATCCTAAATCAGTCGGCAACGCACTCGTATCTCCTCCGTTGATGTAGGTGTCCATGGGCGGCGCTGATTGCTTACCATCAGGTAATCCATCTGCATGTTAGCCGTCCTGTCACATAATAATCAATTAGTGCAATAAGCATCAAACGGCACTTTTACATCTCAAAAAACTAGATGAAACCAGCTATCTTAATACTTGGAGAAGAAATGCCGAAACAAACTCAACCAAATTCATAGAACAGTTTCATTTTTGACATTTCAATGAAAGTATTGAATTTGTCGAATACCATATTCACTTAATTGAAGTTAAATTTCGGATCATAGTATTAGTAATTCAGACATTATAGTATGACTTACAAAATATAGCATGCTAGCTTCCGAACGCGGCTTCGCTCGCGTGGTATGTTAATAAAAAGTAGCCTATGTCCTATTCCGGAGTGTATCCTGTGCCTGTGCCAAATTTCATCCAGATCCGTTCAGCCGTTTTGCCGTGATTGAGTAACAAACATCCAAACATCGTAACTTTCGCATTTACAATATTAGTAAGAATCAAATCTCCATTTAAAAAGAGATTACCAGAGAGTCCAGTAATGAGTGCTTCAGCTCTTTCGAGCTTGAGTTGTAGTAGCTGCGATCGCTTCTCCAGTTCCTCCTTCTGTGCCACCTTCTCATCATACTCGCGCTGCAGGCGAGCTATCATCTCGCTTAGCTCGCGAAGCTTGGCGCGAGCTTCTGCCAGGATCTGCTGCTTCATACGTAGCGACTCCAGTGCTTCTTCGAGACGTTCCTTTTTTGGCTTTACTATCCTAAATTGGGATAGTGACACAGTAAAAAAATCATTACAACAAATCTATTAGGATTCCTAAAAATAGCTTAATCTCATTTTAACTTTAGTTTCAGTATTTTTCTAGCAAATCCTAAAGTAACAACTATTTTTGACGCTAAAATATTATGACTTTACAATTTAGTAATCACAAACAAAATTCATAGAAATTTATAATTCTTGATATTTCATAAAAAAAGATGAAATTTGGTTAATGGTGTAGTATAGTAATTCCTATACGAAAGAATGCCAAACTTAAATGTGAATACCTAAAAGGGAAGAATGAGGATTACCAAGATATGAAGAGTAAATATTATGACAAAACAAGCAGTTTGTGACAATATGGCAGCAGAGAAAAAGATATTATATTTAAAATAGTTACAATCATGAAACGATAGCGAAGGTAACGACTTACTCACGTGTATTAAATGAGAAAATTTCTACTTAAAGTCACGACGGGACTCTTATTCATGAGCAGCATACGCTTCTTCGCAACCAATGACTCATGATTAAGAGTCTCGTTGTGACTTGACGCGTACAGTTTTTCTCATTCAATTCACATGAGTAAATCGTATACTGACGCTATAACACCAGAACGCAGGAACCGATTTCCAAAGTTTTGCATTCGTTGGAAAGGAGGCGGGCTCCGTAAGGTTTATAGCCAAAGAAAATTTTGGAATAATTTCAACAGAAAAGCGGGATCTTTTTCTTTTTTACATACAGCGCCAACTTTTTGAAATACATACATTTGGTGGCGACGAACGAAGTTCGCCGGATTTGCTTGTTTTCAGTAAAGATATCATGTTGTGTCAACCACATACATATACACTACAAACCTATAAAAACCTTTTTATATGTACAGCACGTTTTAATCTAAACTTACTTGTAGATCTTGCCATATTTCTCGATGGCGCGGACCCAAAGGCACAGTGACTTGGCTGCAGCAGACACAGTGCCCACGATCTCAGGGTCGAAGTCCGGTTTGACAGTGTACGTGCCAATCTTCTTGAGGATCTTATCGGATATGTTGTCCTTGTCAAACTCACGGAGACGGTCTAGGAAGTATTGGTCTCCGAGTTGACGTTTCGCTTCAGCCCAAGTTGGCTCTTTCTGTTGTATTTATGGATATTACTGCTAGTTATCGATATAATGCTTACAAATTTGGTGTTTAGTGTTCCATGTATCATATTAAATTAATTAAAATTCATGATTAGTATCTGAAGGCGGAGTGATACCACGGCCTCAGAGAAAAAAGGCGTGAAACAACCACAGATTTGTTCTACGTCGTATGAGTGAGGTTCATCATCATCATCAGCCTGTTATCGTCCACTGCTGAACATAGGCCTCCCCAATTGCACGCACTGAGCTCGATGTTGAAGCCAAATACTTCCCCTTCCCATCCCTCCACAAACCTTAAAAACCCACAAACCTCCTTACCCCCAGAAGGCTGGCGAGGCACATGCAACACCTCTGGTGGTGCTGCATAAAAATAATCGCCTGACAAGCATAGGCATTTTGAGAAATCCCCTAATATAGGTAGACTATAGTCCAGGGGACATTAAAGCGTTCTAAATACCAGATAATTATAATGACAAATCTAAAACAAAACATCTCTCACCTGAAGTAATATGAGCACAGCTTCCAAAACCATTTCGACTTTTTGCGGAGGTTTCGCGTAAGACTTTACTTCAGTGATATCCTTTTTGTTCAGTGCGTCCAAAGCCTGTGGAAAGTTTTGCAGTGTTAGTGAGATTACCCTTACCCTCCCCCAATTAAAGATAAATTTTCAGATATGGCAATTCTTTTTTGTTATCCTCAAAGCAGAGCAATCATTGTCGTCGAGTCAGATTCTTACCTTTATAGCCTCCTCCAAAGCCGGCATGGCACTGGCCAGATCCCTCATGGCAGCGTCAGCCAGCTTCTTGCACTGGACCTCCTCCTCCATGGTCTTCTTGCTCCTGGCGGCGACGCTGCGTTGTTGCTCGTCCGCGTTGCGTTGTTGTACATTGATCACTCCCATGTACTCTATACATTGCTCCGTATAGAGACCTACTTGAACCTAGAGAACAAGAATTTACTTTCCTTCTATTAGTACTTAAAAAACCTTTATTCCTGCCTGTGCTATGAAGTTCTCCTGTGTGGAAAATATGGCATTGTTGGTTTTTTTTTTTTTATTTTGACTTACACTAGGATTTTTTCCTATGTTGTGGTTGCGTTTACTAACATTCAATTTCACATACACATCACACCCAGATCCGGAACAACAATATGTGAATCACACAAAGAGTTGTTCCGTACGGGAATCGCCGCGACGCGTTGCACGGCAACCAGTTGCCCAGCCATCGCGCCAACCGTGCAGTCATGGTCAAATGAAAGATATGATGTGTTGAAGGTATATTTATTCTTAAATTTACGTTTTTATTTATTTATTTAAAAAAGGTACACCAACAGCTTCTGTATATAGCAAATTAAATAAAACAATGAAACATTAGGTTTTGGCCTTATACAGACGCCAATTACAGGTAACCAGCATTCTTAAAAATAAAGTGATAACCTAGTAGAGTAAGAACGAAACTATCTATTACAATAACATAATTAGAATTATATTAAAAATATTATAACAACATTAGAATTGCAATATAATGGATTATATTTGCAATTACGTTATATGGATGCCTAAGCCTTTTCTCTCTTTATTGCCAATTTCCAAACAACCTTATCCTCTTTGTAAACCCCCAAAAGGCTGGAAGGCTTTTGCAACTTCTTAGGTGTTGCTTGTATCTGCACCGACGTGGCCCGCTTACCGCAGGTGACACATGCTCGTTTGCCGAACTATTCCATAAAAATATTAGAGGACATTAAACAGGATCTACAGTGGATACAACCATGTAAACACCGAAACGCTGAACTTCCGTGCGTCCTAAGGACATGACTGTCTTGGACTCGCAAGGAAATCAGACGTTATTATCATAGGACAAGACAAAAAGCTTTGAACAACGAGCAAAAGTGACAGTATCCTTTCAAAATGGATCAACAAATACTTCCTACTACTACAAGTTACGCTAATCACATAGTGGGGGAAGGTCCAAGAAGGGGAAGATGACTCTGCATTGTTCTTACATAAAGGTACGATAATGAAGTATTAGTGATATTGTATTTTTTTTAAGAGTAACGATGGAGTTTCTTGCTCATTCTTCTCCATTCAAATCTATAATTTGGAACGAGCACCTAGCTTCACTGACAAACTACTATTGTATTATAACGTTTCAAAACTACCTATTCACGGTTTAGTTGGAATAAATTATTTTGACTTACACCTGGTTACTGAAAGGCTTGTCAACGCTAAAATTAAATAATCTCCTGTTAAATCTCTTGTCAAGTCATTTGATTGGTTGTTGATAATTCAGTCAACCAATCAGATGACTTGACAAGTGATTAAATTGATTTTAACATTGATCGGCCTTTCGTAAACTGGGCGTTAGACTTTGACTTTCATGACCGCTAAGAACTAGGTTTCCCCCACAGTAAAGCACTGCCAGACCAAAGGCCTAATGTACCACGTCAGCAATCTATTACTTTATATCAAAGTATGACTTGTAGAGCATACCTTGGCCTCCGCGAGTTCTTCAGACATCTGTCCAACGAGTTTGGCGGTCTCCTCGACCTTGCCGAGGCCATTACGCAGCTTGTTAGCTTGCAGGGCTACCTCCGTTCTCTTCGCAGCCAGCATCCTGTTACAGACAATTTATCTATATTAATACTAGCTTTTGCCCGCGACTCTGTTCGCGTATAATAGTGACTTTCTGCAGATTTTTGGTATAAAAACTATCCTGTGACCTATGTCTGTACCAAATTTCATAGAAATCGGTTCAGTAGTTTAGGCGTGAAGAAAAGACAGACAGAGTTACTTTCGAATTTATAATATTAGTTTGGATTATAAAGAGGTAAACTTTATAAGTTTGTATGTAGGAGGTAATCTTTGGAACCGCTGGTCTGATTGCCAAAATTATTTCACTGATAGATAGCTACGTTATTCCTGTGGCTATAGGCTATAAAAAATCACACTGCGATCAAATGGAGCCGAGGAGGTATGAAAGAATTTTGGAAATCCGACCAGTGGTTCCAACGATTACCCCGTACATACAAACTTACAAACTTACAAATTTTACCTCTTTATAATCTTTACATATAAAAATGGATCGCATAATGTGTTAGTAAACGCATAACTCAACAACGCCTGGACCAATTTTGCTAATTCTTTTTTTGTTGTGTTTGTTATTGTCAGAAGAAGGTTCTTATCAAAAATATATTAGAAAAGTAGAGGGGAAGATTAGGAAAAAGTGACCCTATGATAGCGAGATAGTTGGACCCGTGTGAAGCGGGGGCGGCCGCTAGTATTAAGAATAAGTATAGACTTACTGTTTATACCCAGCCACAAGTTCTAGGTAATTGGTAGGAGTGACATAGTTGGTCCTTCTCATCTCCTGCCACATCTTTACTGAGTATTTCCCTACTGATGAGTGAATGAGGGACATGATAGAGGCCACAGATGCCCGGAGTATGTCCTCCCGACTTTCGATCAATGATTCCATTCTACGAATCTGCAAATGAATTAAAAGTCAGTTCTATCAATTATTTATATTTATAAAAAAAACATTTATAACACTTTGCTGTGTTATAATGTGTGTGCCTGTGGCGGCCTGTGTATCGCATCCGGGTATCTTCGCTCACCAGAGACCGCATTTGTGAAAATTGCATAATTATGCAAATTCAAACTTCAAGATTTAGCCGTGCCCTAAGTCCA